AAAAATGCCCAAAACCAAAAAGGGCAGGTTCTGATCTAACCGAGTGGTTAGTAGAGTTATATCACCCGGTTTTTCCAACCAGAGAGAAAATTCTACTATAAATGCTTGCAGGAATTAGGTGGAGAGAGAAAAGAGAGCGTTATTTGAAGGGAACCTTAATATAGAGCCTAGGCTCTAAACAATCAAATTAAAACCTACCTCAAAAATTTTACTAAAAGAGGTTGTATTGATGCCCAAATATCATCAAATTGATCATCTTAACATCAAGATACATGGACTTGAGAAAAAAATGGATTTCAAGTTTTGGAAATAGTGCATCTTGTAATGCATTTTTTTACCATCAATTCAAGATTTTCAAGTTTTTATAGATCTGTTCAATATACATTATTTTTAAAGTTTAAAATTTTAAAGAAAAAATTACAAAAACCCCCAAAAATATACTATTCACTCAACTTACCCCCACCCAAACTTTTCTTCACTTTTTTTCTCTCAACAAGCTTTCCTCGCAAAAACCCCCCAAAGCAAAAAGTTGTAATTTTTTGGATATAAATATCCTCACCGTACAATAAAAATTCAATTGGTTGTCCCAAGTTGCCTATTGCCGAAGCGAAGAACAAAAACACCGAACCTCTTTGAAATTACTGTCGGATAGCAATAGCCACTGTTGGAGCGAGATCAAACAATGTCGAAGCGCGCTACCACGCCACCGGAGCGATGTGCTCCAAAAGAGTATTACCGGAGTGCAGAATGTGTCGTCGGAGCGACATACTAAACCGCTGGATCGAAGTGGCTTACTGTCGGAGGGGCTGATCTGACTGCCGTAGTGCTCTGGCTCCAAAAGCTTGTGTTCTGGAGCATGTTTCTATAGTGCTGGAGCACATGGGAAACGCTTCTGGTGCGTAGAAAAGGAGTATGAAGACAAAAAGGTATTTTAAACATTTTTTTACTTTTTTTTTGGATGGGGAGTTTTTGGAAAGATAATTTGTTGAAGGGAAAAATATGAGAGAGAAAAGTCATAACGGCGTAAGTTGAGGTTTCATAATTTTCCCAATTTTGAATTATAAAACTTTAATTTGATTGTTTAGAGCCTGGCTCTATGCAAACCGCACCCTTATTTGAATGGACATGGGCTTTTCAAACCTGCCGTGGCCTTTTCCACATCTGAGGTGAAACAACATTTGCAAATTAACCCAATAAACAGCTGTGTGCAATTTGGATTTCATGAAAAACTAAAAAACGCTAGGGCGAAATGAATAGCGTTTCGCCCTGCAATAGCTCTCGTAAAACCGTTGTGGTTCGCCCTGCAATAGCTCTCGTAGAACCGTTGTGGTGTTTGTTTGAAAAGTAGCAACAGTTCTTATAAAGTTGTTCCGATTTTTCGTGTTTTTCATATGAAAAATCGACCGCACCGACATGCTATGTCTATTGCAATGTCTGCTATGGTCGATTTATCCACACCGTCTAAAAAAATTGAATGACGTCGTGCATATGGGTCAAAATACTATTTATTTTCCTCCATAGGCGTTGCGTCGTGGTTTTCAGATTTCATGGATTAACAATATTCATAAAATCAACAGAAAATGTTTTGAGGATGATGATTGGGGAGATTAATAAGCCAAAGGGCCATCTTGATAACCATGTTTTGAACAACAGTTCTTTATACTACAAATTCACATCATATGCTATTGGTTACATAAAAAAAGAAAAATTATATATAAACAGCAATATATGAGAGCAGTAACCAAAAGGGCCACCTTGATTTTCAGGCCTTCTAGACTAAAGTTCCCTAATTTGCAATGGGATTCCGCATCAGCCAAAGAAGACATGCTCCCGTGGGAGCATGATGCATGTTTATTCCCTCTTGTAAAATCCTAGCTGGGTGTACTCTTGCAGCCTCAAACTTTTTCCTCGACTTAGTGATTCATCTGAAAATAGAAAATTTGTACACTTTTGAAAAAAAATAACATCTTAAGAATTTTTGGACAAACACAAGTGTTCAAGAAATTAAATTTATTTATCGGCTTTCTTTAAAATATTCAAGTAATTATAAAGTGGATCCCAAAATTTTGGATAAGAAAAATCCTAGTAAACAGGTCGTTTGCTCTATGGAGCTAGTTTATAGTGGTCTTGCAAGAGTATGCTATATGTGTGCTCCACATTACATGTTTTAGAGTTGTATACAACTATGCCATTATTTTTCATGTGGAACCAGAGTTTTATTAGTGCAACTGGAGTTCTATTAAGTGCAATCGGAGTTTTATGTGATCATACATACTAATGAAGCCGAAGAGCAAGTTCTAGAGGACAATTGTAAGGCCAACTTTACTTTATAGCGTGGAATGTTGGGCGATCAAAAAACAACATATCCATAGAATGAGTATAGTTGAGATAATGATGTTGAAATGGATAAATGGTAAGACAAGAATGGATAGAATTTGAAATGAATACTTTCGGGAGAATTTAAGTGTGGGATCAATAGATGATAAGATAAGATAAAGTAGATTTAAATGAAGTTGACCATGTGTGATGCAGGCTCAGTACAACACTTGTTAGGAGGTGCGAGTTAGTTCAAGTGGAAGGCTAAAAAAGGCAACAGGTAGGCCCAAAATGACATGGCTGGAATTAGTGAGAAAAGATATGAGACCCATGAGCTCGTTGAGGGTATGACCCCTAATAAAATAGAATGACATACCAAATTTCATAAAACCGACCTCAATTAGTTGAAAAAAAACTTTATTGATGATGAGAAAAGGTCACAAATACCCCAACCAATTAATTGTAAAATATGACAAGTAACATGGATAATTCCCCCACAAAATCCCAAGTAAATTTTCTAACGACTTGCTCTAATTGTTGGATTTTACATCTTGCACCAACAATAAATTGTTTCATTGCATAATTTCCCGTCATTTTTGCAACAAGAGAACCGACATATATACATCAGTATTTTACCTAACTGACGTAGATTTTCACCCGATAAGCCCCTTCCTTTCAGGTTCAATAATTAATTTCCAGAAAGTTTCTATCTTGCGAAAACCACTTAGGAAAAGTGCTTCAAACATTTTTCAGCAATGGCTTAAAATTCCTCAATTATCATCTCAATCATCACTGAGCCAAACTTCAGATATAAACGCTCAGCTTTTAAAGATAATACACTAATTCCATGAGATACCCTTTATCATACTGAAAAGTCGTCATTTCTAGCTTAAAGGCATTTTTTTTCGCATCATCATCATCACTTGAATCTTATCCACACTATTTAAAATTGACTACACAAATATTATTCCATTTTCCTCTTACCCCAATCTAACCATAAGTTACAATATCTCTCTTACTAGATGTGTCAATGTCCTTGCAACCATGCTTTTACCTTTTTCAAGCATTCCACATGAATTAAATTACCCCCTAACCATTGTTCTATGTCGACTCTGCCAGACTACCTAAATCTACTTCCTTTTATTTTATTGCCTACTACAGCTATCCTCAAGTTTCCTTATATATATACATTCCAAATTCTATCATTCCTCATCACAACACTCATCCATTTCAACGTTCTCATCTCAACTATTTTATTTCATGAATATATTATTTCTTAACTGCCTAATATTATATCTCATAAAGCATAGCTTGTATTAAACTGTCCTATAAAACGTCCCATAAAGCATTTTTTATTAAATAAGTTCTACGTTAAAAAATATCCTGCCATATTGAAAACATATATCTAAGACAATAAATTTCCCAAAAGCAAAGTTGTATCCAAAATTTGGAAGATACGCCTTGTATGTTAAAATACTATAAAAGTGCTTAATTTTTATATGTACTTTTATAATTAAAGATACGCCCTGTATGTTAAAATACTATAAAAGTGCTTAATTTTTATATGTGCTTTTATAATTAAAATTTTACACAAATTCTTCCCCAAAATCGGTCAAAGAGCCTTTTGTGGCCAAAAGGAAGGTACTTTCGCCATGATTTTCAACAACAATACTATTCTGTAAATATCAGTGTTACATGAACTCCAATCTGTATTTGTAAGAAATCACAAAAATACCCAACGTTCAGAAAGGCTTTACCTTTTTAAGTCATTGCACCTTATGAATTAAAAACTTATACAAGGAACGTAAATGGATCATCAACTACTGAATCAACCAAGGAGATAAACTGGCAAAAGAAAAAAAAACAAAAAAAAAGAACCGAGAATTTTAAGGTACATGCACCTCAAAAATACATAAAAAAATGCAGGAAACGGCAAGCGAGCCAAGAACTCTAAGGCCGGCCCCAAGTGTACAACATCATAATCTTTTACATAGTGGCAATCTTTCTATTTCCTAAAGATTGCCTCATATGGCGCATGTTGGCATCTGGGTTTTCGCTCCCCCGTGAAGAAGATAAAGATGAGATATATCAATCACCTTGCACTCTTGTGTAGCTTGAAACCGAAAACCCGAGGCACATAGGTTTGAACTGGCTTTGCAGGCTTTGCATTTGGGTAGGTCAATAGGTACAAGTGAGGGAATGTTGTCCCAATGTAAGCTCCATCCATATCTGATACAAGTCAAGCCCACAATAACAAAACCAACCATGCATTCCATGATTGTAATAACATGTACGTTCTAATATTTGCTATAACAAATCATGAACCACTACCATAATATTACCAATACACACATGCATGGGGCATAAAACTACTAGCAAAAATTGTGGCATAAACACTCAAGGATGCTAAATGATGAAACCCAATGAACTAGCGGATCTATGCCATGGATCAAAAGATAGGGAAAAGGGGAGAGCTTTTAAGATTTTAACTTCACCAGAAAGTACTAAGTTATACATCAGCAAATCAAGAAAATCTTGATATGCTTAAGATCTGAGTGTTACATATTTTCCAACCAGTTCCATAATAAATTTGACTCCCATGAAGCAGTGAGCTAACCAAGTCCGTACAGCAAAACAAGCAGATTTCATCCAGATGCGAAGGGAAGCAATATACCCACTTAATTAACCTTTGCGCAATGGAACCACATCTGGATTTGTTTCAATGATTTCTTACTACTTTTAGTTTGTAACCAAATAATAACACATAGCAACCCAAAGGCCTATGCACCCAGACTACCCATTGATAATGCAAAAAGAAACTTCCCTAGAAGACTGCCAATGAACATGTAAACAACCCTTGGTTTCCATGACCATATGCAACAAGATAATTACCGGGGATAAATACAGAAGGAAATAATTTTGAAAATTTCAGATCAACAATCACATGAGTAATAACCACAGTAAGTAATACGAGAGACGCATAAGGAACACATGAATGAGAAATAAAGAAAGGAACATAAGACGTGAATTAAAGACTAAACTGAAGACCCCTCTCATAATTATGCTTGTGACAGGAATATCAATAAATAGAAGGATACTGCTCTGGTACTTGCATCTCGGAAAATAAATATCTTCACATTTTGGACAGAATAACTTCACTGAACCATTGCGTGGAATGTCTGACGAACCCACAGGAAGGCACGGTTGTCCTCCGCAATAAACACGGGGGCACCGTCCAAAATCAACTCTCTTGTATTTCTCATGCTGAAACCACAGCTAGACCAAATCAACACTAGCCCAGCTTGTGACCAGGATGCTAACAGAAAAATTTAAAATGAAAGCACATTCATACCATGGCAGCTAATCCTTTGCTTGTCAGGATATAGCGTGCATGGATAAGGCCATATAATATTTCTGCAGCAGATTCAATCTCATTGTGCTCTTCTCCATCTACCTCACCTGATATTGGATCACATGCACCATAGCAATAAATTTGAGGACACATATTTCAAATGCTCATACAAAGTAAAAACAATCTAGATTCACAAACACATGCATACACGACTGAATGAGATAGTCTGAACCATTTATCTATTGTAACATGGAAGTCACCATGATATAAGTTAAGCATGCTGTTGTAGCCCGCAAAAATGCACAAGGCTATATCTGGAAACTAACTTTACTATATTTAGGGTTTGGTTGAGTCATCGAGTTGTTCTCTCAAATTCTCCTTGACCAACCTATGGAATATTCTAACAGTACTTGCGTTCTTTTATCTTTGATTAATGCTATCGAACATTTTTCAAAAGGGAAACACAGCAAAGAAGTTTCTCTTATCACAATTTATAAAAGACAAGCAACAAAAATTAAAGAGATAATATTCAGTATAACCATAGAGAATTCATTCAACTCTTGATGCATTTATTGTGCAAATAATTTTTGAAGCCAAACAGAAGTATGCTCACAAGAGTCCATACCAGAAGAAGACTAATAACTAGGGGCAATCAGAGCCACTCCATATTTAAAATTTAAGACTAAGTAATCAAACGTGAACTAAAAAAGGTTGTGGTTGGGTAATAAGGGCGAAGCCAATCTCTGTTAAAGGGGGGGAGCCAATCTCAGTAGGTGACTTCGAATTCACGGCTATAAAGCAAAACTTTGTACTAGCAAATCATTTGACATGTTCATTGGCAGGCAATATACAGTACAGAGCTCAGCATACCTAGGTATAAATAGCACATTATCATCATATGGATCTATAATACTACTTTAAACTGATTTTTCCATTCGTACTAGTCTTTCCATTAGATGAAATTATCACTTATACAAAAAGAAGTGTCTCTTCATGAGCTATCACTTGTGGCATTTTGGAGTAGGCATCATGTGTTACTTGAACTGAGGAATTGGAACATGTGTCGAGTTTATATCCCAGAAATATACTCCCAGATAATAAAATAAAAAGAATATTCAAAATAAAGCAATGCAATTTCCAAATCCCCAAGTTTCAAATTGGGAACATACGCGTCTCAAAATGATTATAGTGCTTGCTGACACATATAAAACCATGAAGGAGTGAAGTAAATGAGAAGATATGAACAGAGGAATTGGCACATGCATGGAGTTTATATCCCTGAAAGATACTCCCAGATAATAAAATACAAAGAATATTCAAAATAAAGTAATGTCATTTCCAAATACTCAAGCCTCAAATTGGGAAAATACAGGGCTCAAAATGATTATCGTGCTTGCTTAGACATATAAAACCATGAAGGAGTGAAGTAAATGAGAAGAAATAACTTCCACCACATACCGCTCAAAGAGTCATTATCCAGGATCATATCAAGTGCATAATCATAATATGGAACCTGTCCTGGAAGACCACACAAGTTGAAATCATCATGTATGTAATCTTCATCAACTTCACAAAGGAGCTCATTTCCTCTTAAACGGCAAAACCAGGAGATCCACGATGAATCGTCTCCCTCTGAACTACTCAGATCTGTCTCCTCACTTCCCGTATCTGATAATTCTTTTCAAACCAAAAATAGAGTGCATGGAATGAAGTCAGAAACGTAATGATTGCAACCTAAAAAAAAAAAAAAAGGATACTTATCACAAATATCAAACTAGGTACAGAGCAGATACAGCCAATATAAAAGAAGTATCGGTAAGTGAAGTATACATTGTTACAACTTAGTAGCTCAAAAGTAAAATGACTTATTTATGGTGTATAGCACAAAAGGAGAAAGGCAGATAAAAATGCTAAATAATAATGGCAACAAAAGCATTTAAAGCGGTAAAACTCTGTTACTCCCATTTGAAAGGGACACATTTATCTACATATATCAAGTACTTGAACTCAAGAGCCCCAGTTCAACTACCACTAGAGCAGCAAAGCACTTGTTCAACTACCAGTAGATCTACCAAAGCAGTTGTTTAGCTACTAAAGTTACCAAGCCCAAGAGTTCCTGTTACTATCTACTACTAAAGCTACGAACTACTACTACTAGAGCTACAAAGAACTTGTTCAGCTATCACTAGAGCTACAAAGCACTAGGGTTACTGTACTAGCTCTTGTATAAAAGGTAAAGCCTTAGATAAGAGTCAGTTGCCAAAAGTCTAACTACAGCAATAGAGCTACAAAATCATTAATAGAGCTCCCAAGCACTAGAGTTCATGTACTAGATCTTGTATAGAAGGCAAAGCCCAAGATAAGAGCTGATTCAACTTGCCCAATGTGTTTCCTGGCTCTTCAAGAGCCTAGCTTTGCCCAACCGAAAGGCGATAAAGCTTACTTAAATCAATGATATTTAGATTGGACCGGTGACCGCACTGGTGAGGGACCGGTCCAGTCAGACCGGCCAGCCAAATAGGTTCACCAATCAGACAGGTTGGTCAATTTAATTTTTTTAAAAAAAAGAGGAAAATAATTAGTATACAGACAACTAGTGGAGAGACAAGTGAATTTCAATGACAAAGGCCTACATCAGGGATTAGTGTTGAGCCCATATTTCTTTTGTTTCAGTTATGGATGAGTTAACTAGGCACCTCCAAGACAAGATACGGTGGTGTATGTTGTTCAAAGATAACATGTTTTATTCTATGAGACTATAATCGGTATCAATACAAAGTTTGAACTTTGGAGGGATGCTCTAGATTCTAAAGGTTTTAAATTAGCTGGACTAAGATAGAATACATGGAATGCAAGTTTAGTAATAATAAGAGTAGAAACAAGGAAATAGTTAAGATACATGGCCAAGAAATACCTAAAAGAGAATATTTTCGATACCTTGGTCAACAATCTAGAAAATAAAAAGATTGAGGAAGATGTCATACATAAAATTAAAGACGGGTGGGCAAAGTGGAGATGTGCATTCGGAGTTTTATCTGATCGCAACATACCAATGAACCTGAAGGGAAGTTCTATAAGACAAGTTGTAAAACCAGCTTTACTTTATGGGAAAGAATGTTGAACAGTCAAGAAACAACATACCTATAGGATGAATATAGTTGAGATGAACAGGTTGAGATGGATAAGTGGAAAGACAAGAAAGGATAGAATTTAGAAGAAATAGAAACATTAGAAAAAGTGTGACTGGACTTGGCAGGAGAGGCCAAATTGCCCCAAGTTCTATGTACAACTAGGGATTAGATAAAAAATTTAAAACAAAATAAAAAATTGTAAAAACTCCCCCTCACCCCCTCTAAAAAATTTAAAACAAAATCAACTAGTGTCACTCTCTTTCTATTTAGCTTGCTCTAAAGCATCTCTCATACATGGAAAGATGCTTCTCTCTCTCTCTCTCTCTCTCTCTCTCTCACACACACACACACACATAGGAGAGGAAGATTATATTCGTTAAAGACTAGAAGTTACAAGAGGTTTAAAAAACGTTCTTTGATTTCCATGTTGACTCTTCAGATCGCCTCAACACTTGTCCTTCTCGATCCAAGTTTGATGGGTCTTACCTGGTTTTATGGATTTTATTTTCCTTTCTTGGAGAGAGAAAGAAGAGATATGAGAGAGAGCGAGAGATCTGCGAGAGAGGAGGGAGGGCTTGTGGAAGACGTAGCCCGAGGGAGGTCACATGTCCGGGCACGTGGCTAAAACACCCATCCCCCTTCTCTTTTCCTATCTATGTTTTTTTTGTTCTTTTTTGAAACGTGAACTACTTGGGCCAGTTACAAGACTTGCCCGAGTAACATGGCTCGGGCTAGGGCCGAGTCCTTGGCCGGAGCCGAGCTTTGAAACATTGACTAGAAAAATGGAAAAATTTATTGGAAACAAAACTAACCCATTAACACCAAGCCAAAATTCAATAGACCCAAATACACTACTCTTTAAAAATGAGAGATATCAAATAAGTCAACTAATTATTGAAGGCCTAACAAATATTCAAATATATTTGTGTCGATGTGTGTGCACGCGAGTGTGTGTACATATATATATGAAGGCACAAAACAAAAGCCCACAATCGACATTGGCACAAATTGTAAAAGACTTGAAAATCAAAAATGCAAAAAAAATAAAAAAAGCAAAAAATAAGTTTCTTTTTTTTTCTTGCACTTTGGATCTACTTTTTAAGAGCTTTAACAAATTGTAAAAGCACTTCAAAAATGAGAAATACACAAAGAAATAACTTTTAGCTTTTGTTTTTCCTTTGCATCTTTTATTTTAAATTTTTAAGATTTTACCAATTGTAATAGCCTTTCAAAAATCAGAACCGCAAAGATATATGCAAAAACAAATTTTTTGTAAACACCTTAAACCCAAAAGCAATTTTTTTCTTTTTTTTTTACTTTTTTAAATCCAAAAAAATACTTAAAATAAATTACACACATACTTTGGGGTGGAATATTTCGTATTTTGGTCTGGATATTTTCAACCCAAGCCTTTGGTTTTCGGTTGAGAGAGAAGAGTAACCAAAGACCTCTCTCTCTCTCTCT